CCTCTTGGTCGACATAGCGCGAGGAGTTCGAAAGAGCTGCTGTGGCGGAAGAAAAAGCACTGAGGAGCAAGGAGCCGGAGCGCCTTTTATGTCAGTGGGAGGAATGGACGGGGCTACCACCAAAAATTTAAAGTAAACAGCTTGGGAAGAGCCTGTGCAGGTACAGTATTCTCCACAAGTATGCATTCAGAGAACTTAAGAACTAGTGTTACTAATAAATTAATTTATATCACCCAACACCCCAAAACAAACAGTGTCTTTTTCAGATAACCTGGGCACCTCCTGGTACCCAAGCTTTCGTGTGTGTGTGTGTGTATAATAAATAATAATAATAATAATAATAATAATAATAATAATAATAACAACACTTTATTTGTACCCAGCTACCATCTCCCCAAGGGAATCGGTGTGGCTTACATGAGGCCGAGCCCAAACACAACAATACAAGCAAAAATAACAACAATAAAAGCAATTAAAATAAAAACATAGACAATAAAATATACAACATTATCAATACGACAACACACAATTAAAAACAGTGGGAAGGCCAAATGTAGAGTTAAAATTGGAAATAATGCTGGGACATGGACGAAAAGGTGATAGTGGTGTTTGTGGAAGGGCATATGAGCCGGCCTAGAGAAATGTAAAGTGCTTTGGAGGACAAAGTGCTATGGGATCATTATTCCGGGAAGGCACACTGGAACAGCCACGTCATCAAGCTTCTCCTGAAGACTGCCAGAGTTGGAGCCTGTCTGATGTCTTTAGGGAATGAGTTCCAGAGTCGAGGGGCCACCACCGAAAAGGCCCTCTCTCTCATCCCCACCAATCGCACCTGCGATGCTGGTGGGATCGAGAGCAGGGCCTCTCTGGATGATCGAAGGGATCGTGTGGGTTCGTATACAGAGATGCGGTCATGCAGGTAGGCGGGTCCCAAACCGTTCAGGGCTTTGTAGGTAAGAACCTGCACCTCGAATTGCTTCTGGTAGATGAATGACAGCCAGTGGAGCTCCTTGAACAGGAGGGATGACCGCTCCTTGTAAGGAGTCCCAGTTAACAACCTGGCTGCCGCCCGTTGGATCATCTGAAATTTCTGAGCCGTTTTCAAGGGCAGCCCCACGTAGAGTGCATTGCAGTAATCCAGTCTAGAGGTGACTAAGGCATGGACCACTTTGGCCATAAGGTTACTACTCATGCTATTACTACTGCTGCTACTGACACTTCCAATAATAATATTGCCACAGACTGAAGAATATTGCCTCATATTATTTATTTATTGCATTTCTATGCCGCTTTTCTCAGCCCGAAGGCGACTCAAGGCAGCTTATGATATATATGTGTGTGTGATATATAAAATACATATGAAATAGACAAATATATATGTTAATTAAATATATATTACAAAATATATATCATTTCATTCATACACACACACACAAATAACCCATATTATTTCCACACAGACTGAGGGATGTGGTCTCCTCTTATATAGATGTATGGCTGTATATATAGATAGATAGATAAAAGGTATATAGATATATAAATGAAATATAATAATATCAATAAAAAGGTAATTACCACTAATGCTATGACTCCTGCTGCAATTAACGCATCAATTCCTAATAAGATTTCCACACAGATGGAAGAATATGGCCTTTTATATATTTCACAAACATATATATTTATATATATTACTATTATTATTATAATATATTATTATTACTGTACACTGTATTATTGTTGTTATTATCTATAAAGTCGCCATTGGCAGCGTGGTAACGAAGGCATTATTATTATTATTTGAAACACAACAAGATTAGTACACAGCAAACAAGATCATTCTGTTGGCTGTTGCATTGGATCACATGTCAGACACTTCCCAAGTGTCTAGGACTACCTGATGTATCGGCGAATAATGCGTGCAGATCCCAGTAGGGTGGCCTTTTGCAGCTGACCGATGGTAATTTTGTCAGTGCCAATTGTGTTTAAGTGCAGGCCAAGGTCAAGGGACCACCTTGACCGGCTTGTGCCGGAGTCTTTGCAGTTCAATCTTTAAATCCTTGTATCATGTCAGCTTTATTGTTATTATATTGTATTATTATTATTACAAAAAAAACCAAAACCCCACCATTGTTAGCATGAGTGGCAATGAAGGCATGATTATTTATATATGAAATAAAATAACTCATAATTACATAATAATTATTGTTTTATAATTGTATTATTTCCACAGCGTGAAATCTGTCAATCTATCCTGACACACAGATGTGTATGTGTCTTTGTGTGAAATAACCTATGCTGTCTCCACACAGACCGAAATAATAATAATAATAATAATAATAATATTAAGAATAGAAGGGCCGAACAAATTGACACCACGTTTGGACAAAATACACCTATTAGGCCAACAAGTAACCATCACTCATAAAAACACTGAAAAACACAGTGAAAGGCAAAAAAAATGCATTACAACGCATGCACAAAACCACATATATACAAGCAAACACACATATACACACACACAAAACACATATACACAGACTGGGCCACAGCAACGTGTGGCAGGGGACAACTAGTATATATATAGGTAGGTAGATGTATATAGACATAGATAAAGATATATGTGAAATGGCTCATGCTATCTCCACACATACTGAAATAATAATAATAATAATAATAATAATAATAATAATAATAATAATAATAATAATGAGCCCCCGGTGGCAAAGCGAGTTAAACCGCTGAGCTGTTGAACTCGCTGACTGAAAGGTTGGCGGTTCGAATCCAGGGAGCGGGGTGAACTCCCGCTATTAGGCCCAGCTTCTGCGGGAAGGTAACGGCACTCCATGCAGTCATGCCAGTGGCCACATGACCTTGGAGGCATCTACGGACAACACTGGATCTTCAGCTTAGGAAGAGAGATGACCACCAAGATGAAGTCTAGCCAAGTTGGACACGACTAGACTTCATGTCGAGGGGAAACTTTTACTATGTCTAGATATATAAGAAATAAGCCATGCTATCTCCATATAGACTTTTTTTTTTTGCCGTGTCAGGAGTGACTTGAGAAACTGCAAGTCACTTCTGCTGTGAGAGAATTGGCCGTCTGCAAGGACGTTGCCCAGGGGACGCCCAGATGTTTTGTCATCCTTGTGGGAGGCTTCTCTCATGTCCCCGCATGAGGAGCTGGAGCTGATAGAGGGAGCTCATCCACGCTCTCCCCGGATTCGAACCTGCGACCTGTCGGTCTTCAGTGCTGCCGGCACAGCGGTTTAACCCATTGCGCCACCGGGGGTTCCTCCATATAAACTGAAATAATAATAATATAGAAAAGGAAAGGCACTCGATATATACAGCGTAGAAATAGCCCATGCTATCTCCACACTGACTGAAATCTATATAAATAAAAATGTAATGTTCGTTTGTGTGATCGACAGAAATCAAAACCACTGCACGAATTGACACCAAATTTGGACACAAGGCACCTAACAACCCAATGTATGTCCTTCACTCAAAAAAATTGATTTTGTCATTTGGGAGTTGTAGTTGCTGGGATTTATAGTTCACCTACAATAAAAGAGCATTCTGAACCCCACAAAACTTGGCATAGATACTCAATATGCCCAAATGAGAACACTGGTAGAGTTTGGGGGAAATAGACCTTGACATTTGGGAGTTGTAGTTGTGGAATTTATAGTTCACTTACAATCAAAGAGCATTCTGAAGCCCACCAACGATGGAATTGAACCAATCTTGGGACGCAGGACTCCCATGACCAACAGAAAATACTAGAAGGGTTTGGTGAGCATTGCCCTTGAGTCTGGGAGTTGTAGTTCACCTACATTCAGAGAGCGGAGCCCCCGGTGGTGCAGTGGGTTAAACCCCTGTGCCGGCAGGACTGGTAGAGTTTGGGGAAAATAGATGACATTTGGGAGTTGTAGTTGTGGAATTTATAGTTCACTTACAATCAAAGAACATTCTGAACTCCACCAATGATGGAATTGAACCAATCTTGGGACGCAGGACTCCCATGACCAACAGAAAATACTAGAAGGGTTTGGTGAGCATGGATCGAATCCAGGGAGAGGCGGGTGAGCTCCCTCCACCAGCTCCAGCTCCTCATGCGGAGACATGAGAGAAGCCTCCCACAAGGATGATAAAAACATCAATTCATCTGGGTGTCCCCTGGGCAACGTCCTTGCAGACGGCCAATTCTCCCACACCAGAAACGACTTGCAGTTTCTCAAGTCGCTCCTAACACGACAAAAATAAATACATTCAGAGAGCACTTTGGACTGAAACAATGATGGATCTGGACCAAACTTGGCATGAATATTCCATATGCCCAAATATAAACACAGACGGAGTTTTGGAGAAATAGATCTTGACATTTGGGAGTTGTAGTTGCTGGGATTTATAGTTCACCTGCAATCAAAGAGCATTCTGAACTCCCCCAATGATGGAATTGAACCAATCTTGGGACGGAGGACTCCCATGACCAAAAGAAAATACTAGAAGGGTTTGGTGAGCATTGACCTTGAGTTTGGGAGTTGTAGTTCACCTACATTCAGAGAGTACTTTGGACTCAAACAATGATGGATCTGGACCAAACTCTACATGAATACTCAATATGCCCAAATGTGAACACTGGTGGTGTTTGGGGGAAATAGATCTTGACATTTGGGGGTTGTAGTTTCTGGGATTTATAGTTCACCTACAATCACAGAGCATTCTGAAGCACACCATGACAGAGTTGGCCCAAACCTCCCACACAGAAGGTGTGGGCCACAGCAACGCGTGGCGGGGGGAAATATGAAAAAAAAAGCCATGCTATCTCCACACTGACTGGAAAAAAAACAATCTATGCTGGCTGGTGATGATGCTGCTGATCCTGGAGAGGCCTGAGAGGCCCAAGATCCCTGACAGCCCTGCCCTTTCCCTGCCTTCCTTTTCCCTCAGGTTTTGGGGGCCTTCCACTTCCTTTTCCCTTTCTTCCTCCTCACCTGTCGCCGTCCTCCTTTCCTTCTTTCCTTCTTTCTTCCCTCCCTTCCTTCCTTCCTTCCTCCGCCGGAAAACAGAATGAGAAGCGGCAGCGGCGGCGTCTCGTCAACCAGGAGGAGGAGAGGGGCGGGGCCACCCAAGTCGCGCGAGACTCGCCCGCCACTTACAAACTCTCGCGAGTAAAGGAGCCGGAGAGGGCGGTGGCTCCTGGCTCGCTCCCGCGCGCCCCCTGCAGGCAGGCGCAGGAAACGCCGCCTTCTCACATCACCAGCAGCCTCTATTATTATATATGATTTTTTATTATTATTTATTAATACACCTACATTATATTAATTACCTATTAATTACATTATATTAATTACCTATTAATATACCTCTTACCTACAAGAAGCACTGCCTGAACATCAAGCAAAAAGTGGGTGCCAGAAACAATATCATACGCAAGCTGACTGGCACAACCTGGGGATCACAACCAGACACAGTGAAGACATCTGCCCTTGCGCTATGCTACTCTGCTGCTGAGTATGCATGCCCAGTGTGGAACACATCTCACCACACTAAAACAGTGGATGTGGCTCTTAATGAGACATGCCGCATTATCACAGGGTGTCTGCGCCCTACACCACTGGAGAAATTACACTGCTTAGCCGGTATTGCACCACCTGACATCCGCCGGGAAGTTGCAGCCAATAGAGAAAGGACCAAGGCAGAGACATCTCCAGCTCATCCCTTCTTTGGGTATCAGCCAGCACGTCAACGCCTTAAATCAAGACATAGTTTTCTTAGATCTACAGAGACACTCACTGGAACACCCCAGCAAGCGAGAGTCCAAAGGTGGCAGGCTCAAACCCAGCACCTCAATCCATGGGTGATACCAGATGAGAGACTCCCCCCTGGGCACACAGAAGACTGGGCAACTTGGAAGGCGCTGAACAGACTGCGCTCTGGCACCACGAGATGCAGAGCCAACCTCAAGAAATGGGGCTACAGGATGGAATCCACGGCATGCGAGTGCGGAGAAGAACAAACCACTGACCACCTGCTGCAATGCAACCTGAGCCCTGCCGCATGCACAATGGAGGACCTTCTTGCGGCAACACCAGAGGCACTCCATGTGGCCAGATACTGGTCAAAGGACATTTAACCAACTACCAAATTTGCAAAATCTGTGTTTTTTTTTCTTTTTCTTTTTAATCTGTGTGTTTGTTTTGCTCTGTTAGAATTGTAATACAATGGTATGGTTGCTGATGACACGATAAATATAGCCATCCCCTGCCATGCGTTGCTGTGGCCCAGTTTGTGCATAAAATTTAGGATGAGATAAAAGACGAGCGAGGGAGAGCTCATAAAGAAACAGGATTGTAAAAAACAGGGCTTCATACAAGGGGGGAAGTGTACTCCAGGGACAATAAAGTTGAGGGGAGCAATAGAGTAAGGTTGTGTGGCTACTCTCCAAAGGCACAACGGAAAAGTCAGGTTTTAAGATTATTTTTAAAGGTTTCTAAGGTGGGAGTTTTCCTAATCTCTCCGGGCAATGAGTTTCAGAGTTCGTGGCGGGGGGGGGGGCACAGAAGGTTCTCTCCCTTGTGCCCACAAGACGGGCCTGTGATACTGGCAGGAGCGAAAGGAGGGCCTCCCCCGAAGATCTAAGACCTCGGGCTGGTTCATGGAGAGAGATACACTCCCAAACCGATTGTAACCTGCCTTGTCCTTGGAGGAAGTGCTTTCGGTGGATCCTCAGTACTGTGGTTTAATGCTGTTTGTGGAGGTGGGAGGCTGCCTGTGTAATCAGACATGCCGACACATACACAAATACACATTTTCATTTTTATTATGTGTCTAGATCATCATCATCATCATCATCCATGGCCTGTGAGTAGAAGATCAATCCCGACAAGACTGAGGTCCTCCTGGTCAATCGAAAACCGGATCGGGGTATAGGGTGGCAACCTGTGCTGGACGGGGTTACACTCCCCCTGAAGTCACAGGTCCGCAGTTTGGGTGTCCTCTTGGATTCATCACTTTCGCTTGAGGCTCAGGCGTTGGCGGTGTCTGGGAGAGCTTTTGCATAATTGAGACTCGTGCGCCAACTGCGACTGTACCTCGTAAAGGCTGATCTGGTCCATGCCTTGGTCACCTCTAGATTGGACTACTGTAATGCGCTCTACGTAGGGCTGCCCTTGAAAACGGCTCGGAAATTTCAGCTAGTCCAGCGGGCGGTGGCCAGGATGTTAACTGGTGCTCCTTACAGAGAGAGGTCAACCCTCCTGTTCAAGGAGCTTCATTGGCTGCCGTTCATTTTCCAGTCCCAATTCAAGGTGCAGGTACTCACCTACATAGCCCTAAACGGTTTGGGAACTGCCTGAGTGACCGCATCTCCGTTTATGAACCCGCATGCTCCCTCCGATCATCTGGAGAGGCCCTGCTCACGATCCCACCTGCATCGCAGGCGCGTTTGGTGGAGACGAGGGACAGGGCCTTCTCTGTAGTGGCCCCCGACTCTGGAACTCTCTCCCTAAGGACATCAGATAGGCCCCAACATTGGCTGTCTTTAGGAAGAGCCTGAAGTCCTGGCTGTTCCAGTGTGCCTTCCCAGAATAGGAAACTCCTGGCTTCAAGTCCCAAAAACACTTTGTTAGAGATTCAGGATTATCTGCACATTGCACCTACCGCCAAATACCTCTATATTACCTGTCAGGTTCAGCACTTTTAATTTTTGTCCATTACATTTGGCCCGGCCCCTAGGTTTTAATTGCGTCACGGTGTCATTGTTTTATTGTTCTATTGTTTTGCTTGATGTTTTATTATTTGCTTATGAGTTTTACTGTGTATTGTATGTTGTTGTTGCTGTTGGTGGCCTCGGCCTTTGTAAGCCGCATCGAGTCCTTTGGGAAATTTTGCGGGGTATAAATAAAGTTAATAATAATAATAATAATAATAATAATAATAGTAAGTTCAGCCTGAAAAATGTAGAGGCTGCCAAGGCCAACAAATGGTTGCAGCTGAGGCTTCAGAGCTTGGGCCAAACCCAATGCAATGTAGCGCCCAAAGGTCAGCCTTTAAATAGAAGGAAGGAAGCAAAGAAAGAGGCGTGACTTGGAAGGACCGTTTTCCCGGGAGGGAATGCCTGGGACACCAATCACCACAATAATAATAATAAGATACCATGCCAGCTCTCATAGGAATAGTTATTTGCCTGATGTGAATAATAATAATAATAATAATAATAATAATACCATAACAATCATAATAATACCATCCCCTACCAAACCATGCTGGCTGTCATATGAATATTTTTTTGTTTGACATGATTAATAACAACAGCGCTAATACTATGATAACTCTCATATGAATAGTTATTTGTTTTATGTGTTTTTTAAAATCTTGTTTATACTTGTTTGCTGTGATATTTTAATTAATTAATTAATTAATTCACAGCATTTATAGCCCACCTTTCTCAACCCTAAGGTGACTCAAGGTGGGTTACAGATTGGCAACAATTCGATGCTCTGCATTCATAAAAACATGATTAAAACAATCAACATAACAATTAAAAAATATATAAAACCCATTAAAACATGTAGTCACTGGTGATCCTGGAAAATCGTTTTCCAGTAGCATCGTCTGGCCATTCCATGTTCATTATTCATAGTTTCATGTTATCTATTCCGCTGCATTTCCAAAACCTTGCTTTTTTCAGAAAGTCAGGAGGGAGGGGGTTAATCTAATATCTCTGGGGAGGGAGTTCCATAGCCAGGGGGCTACCACTGAGAAGGCCCTGTTCCTTGTCCCCGCCAATCGCACCTGAAATGAAGGCGGGATCGAGAGCAGGGCCTCCCCAGATGATCTTAAGCTCCGAGATGGTTCATAAGGAGAGACGCGTTCGGACAGGTAAGCTGAGGTGGAACCGTTCAGGGCTTTATAGGCTAAAGCCAGCACTTTGAATTGTGCCCAGTAGCAAATTGGCAGCCAGTGGAGTTGGCACAACAGAGGAGTTGTGTGCTCCCTGAGTGCTGCTCCCGTTAGCAACCTGGCTACCACCCGTTGGACCATTTAAAGCTCCTGAACATTCTTCAAAGGCAACTCCATGTAGAGCACCCTGGAAGTTAAACAGTATCAGAGTCTGCAAAGCCAGACTGCAGGCCCTCTGCAGTTATTGGTTTAGAAAAGTATCTCTTTGGATCTAGGGACCGCCTTTTTTCCTGGGTTGAGATCTCCATTTTGGAATCTCCCCTGCCTCCTTCAGTACAGAAAGAAAGCTTCAGATGTGCTGTTGGTCAAGGCAGGTAGCTCTGAAAAAATCATTGTAAGTACGATTGAGTTATATAGATAAAGAAGCTAATTGGGATAGATAGATAGTAGAGCAATTGAGATATAGAAAAGTTATTGAATATTATTGAGCATTACCTCATCTCCAAAGCTAACCTTGAGTTATAGATAGGGAAAAACCTGTTTTTTCTAACCATAGCAGCTCAGGGTTAGGGTGAAAGGATCTCAGGATATTTTCTACCTTTTGGGGAAAAGTTACCTCAGTAACTGAAGGAAAGAAAGATCATCTCTATGGTTTCACCAACTGACTGTTTTGTTTGTAATTTTGACAAGCTGTGCCAAGTCTGCTAGGACTTTGAGAAATAAATATTCTGTTTTGGTGTTCAAAACCTGTAGTAGCCTCAGTTGCTCAGATCTGCGTTTTTTCATCTACGTCAGGCTAGGCGACTGGCTCCCTACCTATCTAGGAACGACCTGGCTACGGTGATCCATGTGACGGTCATCTCGAGGCTGGACTACTGTAATGCCCTCTACATTGACCTTCCTTTGTCAGTGATCCGGAAACTGAAGCTGGTGCAAAATGCGGTGGCTCATTTTCTCACTGGGGTGCCGGCGAGGTGTCGTATCACCCCAATTCTACAACAGCTGCACTGGCTACCAATTGAGTACCGGATTACTTTCAAGATGCTGGTATTAACCTTTAAGGCCTTATATGGTCTTGGGCCGGCGTACCTGAGGGCCCACTTGAGATTACTTCGGTCCAAAGACCAAAATTTGCTTGAAGTCCCCAAAATCCGGACTTATCATCTGTCCTCTACTAGGCAGAGAGCCTTCTCGATTGTAGCCCCTTATTTATGGTATGCCTTGCCAGTGGAAACCCGAACAATCCGAGACCTACTTGCTTTTCGGAAAGCCTGTAAAACCTTTCTCTTCCGACAAGCTTTTGATGGGTGAATAACTCGGGACTATGTCTGTTCTTGTTTTTATTGTATTTAAAAGTTAATTGTAATGTTTTAATCTACTGCTGTAAACCGCTCCGAGCCAAATTGGGAGTAGCGGTATACAAGTCAAATAAATAAATAAAATAAAATCTCAAGCTTCTAAAGAAAGACCCTCGCGGTCCGCCCAGACAAAGAGAGAAGCACATCTTAGTTTTTATTTTATAGGGTCTGGGTGTGACGGCACAGTGGTGCTGGGTGAAAAGGGCTTTCAGTACTACAGGGCAACAGTTCCTGGGCTGTAGGTGAAGTAATATTGTTAGTTTTGGTTTGACAAAAGCAAGGAAGAGGCAATCCAATGCCAGGGTGGTTTGTCGGTCCCAATTTAATGAAGATGCTGAACTCAAGGGTAATAGAACATTGTTTTTATTGCCTGATTTGCAGTGCAATGATTCCCGACAAAACCAGGGAACCTTTTCATTGCATTACATGTCATCGCCTTGTTTCCAACAAGAAAGATTTCCTGTACAAAAAACGATGGAGGAGTATAAAATACTGAGAAGAGAGACCAGCTGGGCTTCCTTTGGGAGAGAGGCAAGGAAACACATTGGCAATCCCTTGGTCCTTAATACATACAAAGGTAAATCCAGCAAAAAAAGTGGGGGGAAACAGCATTTCGAATCCAAGCCTGGTAACACCTTCTCTATGAAGTCCTTCCAGGAAAAGCTTCCTGCATTTTAGCAGGACTTTGTGCAAAGCATGTGTTCATTGTGCCCAGCAAAATGATCCTGAGACCAGCTATAGACTGAATACATTTGTGTGTGTGTGTATTGCTGTTTCAGCAAATGTGAGCGGTGCAGCCACAGGATCCTTTTTCTGCCTTCAACAGGACCCTCTGTGTGGCTGAGGATCCGGCCCAAAGAAGCCGAAGTGAATACTTAAAACAGAGGACATGCATACGCCGCATATATGATATGTAACACGTCTCTGAATTCTTTACCAAAAGATTATTTAGAAAAAAAAACATACTGTAGAAATAAAGGAGACCCCAAAAAGGCCCCAAAAGGAGAGTTGGTCCATAAGGAAAGGCCCATCTCCAGTCATTCACATCTCTGAGCTTTTCTTTTTGCGTTTGGTCCAGCACTGAAGAGGCTCCAATCCATCCATATGAATCCAGGTGCAAGGAATGGTTCTATAGCAGACATGGGCCAACTTTGACCCTCCCTCCAGGTGTTTTGAACTGCAACTCCTACAATTCCTGTTCAGAATTGTGGGAGTTGCAGCCCAACACTTGTAAGAAGGGCCGAAGTTGGCTCATGCTTGTTCCGTAGAGTTGTTTTCAAGTCACCATATTGTTCTTTTTGCAGAAAGCAAGGGTTTGCATTAAGTAGGATAGGAATGGATGCAAACTGTCCTTGCAGCTGGCAAAAGAGCGGGTTGTAGGAGTCTGTTCTTGCAGCGGAAATGGATAGATCCTCTCCGCTATCAAAGGAACAAAGGAATCCAAATCTGAGGATCTTCAGGAGGAACCGGTATAATTAGGCCAAATGCAACTGAGTCACACTGACTGAGTACTGAATGTCTGAAGGCAGCGACTGGGATTCACTCCCCAAAGGAGTCCTGCCATTGCAGGAGGTCCCGGTGGCCTCGATTATAACTTTTCTGGACCAGAGATTCCTCCAAAAAATTAAGATACGGGAATGTGCCAGAGGTAAGGATACTATAGTATGGGCAACGATGCAAAGAAAGGGGTCACTGGGATTAAAAAGGGAGGAACAACGTCGCCCAGTTTGGAAGCTTCTATCCTGACGAACCGTTGACCGCATCCTGTGTGGCTTCCTTTCTTTTTTAGCAAACAAGAGATTGTAGATGGACGGATGGAAATCCAAACTGAGACATTGAGACATTGAAATGATTTCCCCTGAAACCAGGGACAAGCAACGAAGAATAAACAAATCAAACTGTGAAGCCTTTTCCCCATTTGGTTTTCCTCTTCCTCTCACAGAATCACTTCCCATTTTGAAGAAGAGCTCTCCTTGGCCTGAAGTGGGACCAAAACATGAAAGCAAAGGCTTCTGGGGACAAAAGGCAAATAAATAGTGGGGGCAGCACCCAAAAGCTGTCCTCTGAGATATCTCCTTCCCTATTGAAGGAAAACAGTGTATTGTGTTCACGTTGGACCAGTCTTATTGAGGCCTCATCAACACTGTGCTGCAAAGAATGCCACCAAAGGCCAGCTTGACAACACACTGCAGGGCATATCAGAAAAGGGAAATGGCTCCGATCCACACAAGGATCCAGGGAGGTTTTCCAGGCACGTGGCGTGCTGTTGCAGAAGTTAAAAGTGAGATACAGTGATATCGAAGGGTGCAAAGAAGATAGTAAAAGCCAAGATGGATGGAGGAAGGACGGGAAGATGGCAAAGAAGGGTTCTTGCTGCTGCTTTTGCATCACAGGAAGAGACACCAAGCTCAGGAAAGAGGAGAAAGTGCAACTAGGCCACGAGGGGCAACCCTCAGGCACTTGGGGGCTGTATTTGCTCCAGAGACCCTTCAAGGGCCACCCATAAATATACTCACGACACAAACAAAACAAGCCATTCACCTCAAAGGAATGGGCTCATTACTGCTTTTGTGTGCGTCACACTCATTCAGGCAAACTGAAGGCAACACAATTTTGCAAAGTTCACAGTGATAGGATCATCTGGAATTCCTCCGCCCGCCACCTTCAAGAGGCCTTCAAGGGCCATGTTTAAATATACTCACAATGGTACCAATAAAACAAACCATTCACCTCAAAGGAATTGACACATTGCTATTGTTTGCTTCACGCTCGTTCAGGCAAACCAAAGAGGAGATTTCAAGGCAAAAGGGATGTTAGATTCACCTCCTGAGACGTTCTCCAGGAGACATGGCCCAACTTGCCCCACTTCAATGGGTTTCACTAGGATTAACCAATTGCCTTGTCAACCCACCTGCTGCCATTAACAAAGGCGTGCTTCTCAAGGCAAAGTCCCCAAGAAAGGGATGGGAGAGAAGTCCTAGCATCAGGGCTTAGTTGGGTTCAGAGCGTCAGGGATGCTCTGGTGTCTTTCAGAGCATCAGGTCAAGGAGACACTGCCATCAAATAATAATAATGATAACGACAGTGATAATCTTCTGTGCAAGTTGCAGTTTGGATAATCAATCTTCCCTGCAAGTTCCACCTGACATTTGCCGACTAATCGTAATAAGAGACAGGATTAGCTTTTTCGGACTCCCCTCTCCTTCCTCCCCGCTCCTACTCTTTTCTTTCATGGGAAGTGTGAGAAGTTATTGGCAAAAATAATCAGCTTCAGGCAGCCTCCCCGACCTGAAGTATGTATGCATGCATATATATTTTTTAAGTAAGGTCCGTTTTATTGTAGACAGTAGCGCATGAGTTGTGTACCGGTATGCCTCGGGAACAACTGTGCTCAGTTTCCGCTCTGTAGCTAACCTGTACGGTTCTGTTCTGTGCTTTAAAAATGTTTAAGACTATCAACTCACCCTCCGTATGTGAGGTTCACTCAGTGATACGGTTTTTGTCAGCAAGGAACCTGCCTGCTGCAGAAATTCACTGACAGATTTGTGAAGTGTACGGTGATACTGTTATGAGTGAAAGCAAAGTGCATAAGTAGGTACGACAATTCAAAGATGGCCGTGACAACGTCCATGATGAGGACCGCTCCGGTCGCCCTTCTTTGATTAAAGACGATTTGGTTATCGGAGCAGGCGGCAAGTTTTTATGAAGAGGGTATTTTAAAATTGATTCAGAGGTATGATAAGTGTTTGAACAAACTTGGCAACTATGTCGAAAAATAGAGTGAAGTATGTACTTTCTGAAAATAAATTTACTTTTTTGAAATAAACTTTCATTGTGTACTTATGTTCAAACGGACCTTATTTAAAAAATACCCCTTGTGTGTGTGTGTATATATATATATATAGAGAGAGAGAGAGAGAGAGAGAGAGGAGAGGAGACCTCATGGGCCATCCAGTCCAACCCCCTGCCAAGAAGCAGACACACACACACACACTCGATACATGTCAATAGTTGGATTATGCTTCAACAAGAATAGGCTGCCCTCAAGCAACCAAAGGCTGATGCGGAAGCTTAAACACTCAAAGGTGACGAGGAAAGGGGAGCGAGGATAAACCGTCGAGAACATGGTGCCCTGTTCAGGGGAAGGTTTAGGAAGTGGAGGCTTGCTTGTGACACAGGCCACAAGCAATGAAGGAAGAATGAAGGAAGAATAAGGCAATGAGCTAAAGAAGGTAGAAAAGGACACCTGAGGAAAGGAGGAGAATAAGACAGAACCAAGAAGGCAGCTCAGCTGCACATTTGAGACATAAAGTCAGGGAAGTGCTCTGTGCAAAGCAAGGAAGCGCTCAATGTGGATGTCCGCCCTGCGGATTGCCACTTGTGGGTTCCAATGTGGGAGGAGGAAGCGTGCCCTGCAATATGGCTTTGAAGGAGAGAAGAAGGACAAGACCCAGCCCGGCACTAGGCGTCCTCGTCCTCGTCGCTGATGAGGTCCCTCTTCTCTGGGTGGGTCTCGCGCTCGCGCAGAAAGTCCTCCCTCATGGCCTCCAGCTCCAGCAGCTCCAGACGCACCTTCTCCAGGTGGCAGGCCCGGCGGTTGCGGATCTGACGCAAGGGGAAGGGGTTCAGGTCCCCAAAGGCAATGCCCAGCAGCTTCCTGCAAAAGAGAAAGAGAAAGAAAGAGATAACAGCCACCAGATGGTGACAGCGGGCACATCGCTTCCCAGGACATTTTTTCATTTATTTATATCCAAAACATCTGGAGCAGGGGTCCTCAAACTTTTTGAACAGGGGGCCAGTTCACTGTCCCTCAGACTGGTGGAGGGCCGGGCTATAGTTTACATGGGAATATTGTGAAACATTTATTTTATATATTGTGAAAATTTATTTCTAATTACAAATAGATGGGACATAAGAGAAGCCTCCCACAAGGATGATAAAAACATCAAATCATCCTGACGTCCCCTGGGCAACGTCCTTGCAGATGGCCAATTCTCTCACACCAGAAGTGACTTGCAGTTTCTCAAGTCGCTCCTGACACGACAAAAAAAAATTACAAATAGATGAAATTTTGAATTCAAGCATGTTGTAGCATGGGTAACAGGCTTACTATAACAGCAGGGAACCCATGAATATGTTTCCTAATCAGCCTATTGGCCAAATTCTCATGACCTCTTGTCATCATAGTTTGAGGACCCCTGACCTGGAGAGAGACCCCCAGTTGGCTCATGCCGACTCTAGAAGCTTTATCCCCACACATTGTGCATGTCATTTTGTATTCCATCCTCTCAGCCTCCTTACCTGGCGTCAAGGACCGTGTGGGTGAAGTACCGGAGGTACTTGAAGATGGACATGGAATCCTGCAGCTTTAAGATCTCCTCCTCTTTGTATTTGAAGAGTGCCAATGCATACCGGAAAATGACCTGGAAGAGTCAAAGAAGAGGGGACTAAATGTGATTCATCAGGAGGCCGTCTTTGAGGTTTCCCGCTGCTTGAGCGACCCATCGAGGAGGAATTCCATCCCAAAGAGCTGAGGGTAATACACTGGATCTTGCAGTCGCCAAAGTTCCCATCTGGATGGGATTAATCAAAATGCAAAGATAATAAGCTGCCATAATAAAATACTACACTCGTATGGAATAAATGGCATAGTAGGCGAACAAGTTGTCTTTGCTGCAAGGGTCAGATAATGGAAGCAAAGATCCAAAAGTCTGCTCTTGACTGACTTGCAGGCTTCCACATTTGTGACCATTAAGAATGCTTTTAAAGGTAGGCCAATTGCTTCAATTTTTCTGAGAATCCAAGAATGCTATTCTGAAATAAAACAATTTGATAACAAAGAGGGAATATAGCTATCGGTGTCTGCTTGAACATGCATGTGCAGCCCAAATTGCATGGCTCTAGTCCATTGCATGGTTTCAAGAGTGGTTTCCCTGTCTCAATACTTAGCAAGGTACACATCTAGGGAACCCCATTAGTTTCTGGAGAAACTTGGAATGTAATCTATGAAATGATTTATTTTTACTTAAATAAATCTATTAACTATTTTGTATGGTTTTATTATGTTTTCAATCTATTTCATTAAGGTACTTGCAATTATGCTAATTCATCTTCAGTGGGGCATGAGCAAGAGACACAAGGAGAGGTGAGTAATAGTAATAATATTCCTACTATTCATGCTCCAGTCTGGCTTATATTTATTTCTATTGGGAAATCCCCCCCCCCCCCACTCTCTCTACTTATCTATTATAATCATCACCATTATTGTTGTTGTTATTATATTCCTACTGCTCATGCTCCAGTCCTGCTTATTTTTACTATTGGTAAACATCCATCTATAGCTACATTTCTATATTATTATTTCAAACACAACAAGATGAGTCCACAGAAAACAAGATCACTCTGCTGGCTGTTGTATTGGATCACATGTCGGATGTCAGGAGTCAATTTCTGACAGCATGAAGACATCACAAATTTCCTCCGTGACATCCTGACTGAATCATCCTGGCTGCCTCAGTTTTCTCTCTGTGACATTTTGAAGCCAGCAGAGGGCGCTGGAAGCCTTGTATTGGAACATGTAATGCAACAAGCTCTAATAAGGAAACTGAGAAGAGGGGAGAGTTGGGCAGGAAAGGTGTATAAAAGGAAGTGGTGGTGGGAAAAAGTCAGTCATGTCTTTCTTTGCTGCAAAGATACAAGCAATATATTCATTTCCAAGCAAAACCGGCTTGTGAGTGATCATTTAATATTGCTATATAAAACCTACAGTCTTACAAGTGTCTAGGACTATGTGATATATCGGTGAATAATGTGTGCAGATCCCAGTAGGGTGCCCTTTTGCAGCTGCAGCTGACAGATGGTAATTTTGTCAGTGCCGATTGTGTTTAAGTGCAGGCCAAGGTCTTGAGGATCCTCTTCCTCATACTATTTCCTTCCTTCCTGGGCCCATCTGGGGCCCAACGGAACGTCGGGCCGCGCTGCTCCTGGAGGCTGAAGATAGAGGCCAGAGGCGATCTCACTGGAAGCCTTGTTGGAAGGGGCGGGTGCGCTCGCCAGCTGCGGAGCTCAGCGCAGGCCTTGCAGTCAGTGCTGTCCTGTGCAGCCCTGGAAGTCAGGCAGGCAGACCACTGCAAGCGGAGGTTCTCCTCCGTTGCCTCGGCTGCATCCTCTGCTCACTGTTTACGCCAGGGCAGGCCTCCGCAGACCTGTGCTGACCTGCAGAGACCTGAGCTGGCGTAAGCAGCAAGCGAAGGCTGCAGACGAGGCAGCAGAGGAGGACCTCTGCTCACAGCAACCTGCTCATCTGGCTGACAGACAGACTGACTGACTTCCAGGCCCAGGAGGTACTTACTTACTTACTTACTTAGGCGATCCCTCGTTGGACGAGTAAGATGGTCTTCCATTATGGATTTCCTTGTGGGTCCGTATGTGGCTGTGGAGCCCTATTCTTGCTCTGCATCTTCTTCCGCAGTGAGGGCATTGGTTTCCAGGTGGAAGGTGGTCCCGGTCGGGGTTGGCTTGACGCGCCTTCCTCCTGGCACGGTTCTCTCTTTCACCCTCCACTCGTGCCTCCTCAAATTCTGCAGCACTGCTGGTCACAGCTGTCCTCCAGCTGGAGCGCTCAAGGGCCAGGGCTTCCCAGTTCTCAGTGTCTATGCCAGAGTTTTTAAGGTTGGCTTTGAGCCCATCTTTAAATCTCTTTTCCTGTCCACCAACGTTCCGTTTTCCGTTCTTAAGTTCGGAGTAGAGCAACTGCTTTGGGAGACGGTGGTCAGGCATCCGGACAATGTGGCCGGCCCAGCGGAGTTGATGTTGGAGGACCATCGCTTCAATGCTGGTGGTCTTTGCTTCTTCCAGCACACTGACGTTTGTCCGCTTGTCCTCCCAGGAGATTTGCAGGATTTTCCGGAGGCAGCGCTGATGGAATCGTTCCAGGAGTTGCATGTGACGTCTGTAGACAGTCCACGTCTCACAGGCATAGAGCAGGGTTGGGAGGACAATAGCTTTATAAACAAGCACCTTGGTATCCCTACGGATGTCCCGGTCCTCAAACACTCTCTGCTTCATTCTGGAAAATGCTGCACTTGCAGAGCTCAGGCGGTGTTGTATTTCGGCGTCGATGTTGACTTTGGTGGAGAGGTGGCTGCCAAGGTAGCGGAAATGGTCCACATTTTCTAATGTGACACCATTAAGCTGTATTACTGGCATTGGAGAGGGATTGGCTGGCGACTGCTGGAACAGCACCTTGGTTTTCTCAATGTTCAGTGACAGGCCGAGCTTCTCATATGCTTCTGCGAAGGTGTTTAGAGTGGCTTGTAGATCTTCTTCTGAATGCGCACAGACGACATTGTCATCAGCATACTGGAGTTCTATAACAGATGTTGTTGTAACCTTGGTTTTGGCTTTCAGTCTGCTGAGGTTGAATAGCTTGCCATCTGTCCGATAGATGGATTTCCACTCCGGTGGGAAGCTTCCCATCAACAAGGTGAAGTATCATAGCGATGAAGATGGAGAATAGAGTTGGGGCAATAACACATCCCTGTTTGACACCTGATTCCACCTTAAATGGGTCACTTTGGGAGCCACTGCTGTCCAAGACTGTTGCCATCATGTCATCGTGGAGGAGCCACAGGATGTTCACAAATTTGTTTGGGCACCCGATTTTGTAGAGGATGGTCCAGAGAGCGCTGCGTACTATACTGCATGAAGACAGGAGGGGGTTGGACTAGATAGCCTATAGAGCTCCCTTCAAACTCTATTATTATTGATATTAATATTAATATTAAGGCTGGATGGCTATCTGTCATGGGAGCTTTGATTGTGCTTTCCCCGAAAGAAAGCAGAATGAAGGGGGTTGAACTAAATGGCCGTAGGAGCTCCCTTCCAACTCTATTATTAATATTAAGGCTGGATGACCATCTGTTGGGTGTGCTTTGTTTGTGCTTTCCCTGCAAGAAGGCAGAATGAAGGGGGTTGGACTAAATGGCCTTTAGAGGTCCCTTCAAACTCTAGGATTCTATGAAAAGAGTTTTTGTCGACCACGAGCCAACAGTCCGGCCCTCCAACAGTCTGAGGGACAGTGAACTGGCCCCCTGTTCAAAAGGTTTGAGGACTCCTGCTTTAGATCATCCATGTACAGCAAGTGGGAAACTGTTGGTGAATTTCTTGCTGTTTGGTAGCCCAGCTTTGTTTTCTGTAGAATTACTGACAGCGGGATCACTGCAATGATGAATAACAATGGTGACAGAGAGTTGCTCTGGAAAATTCCTCTCCTGATGTTAACAATTCCATAGCTTTCATTGCCCACAAACAACTCAGTTTTCCATTGTTTCATTGCATTTTCTTTACTACTATTATTATTATTATTATTATTATTATTATTATTACTATTACTATTATTATTATCATCATCATCATCCTGCTGCTCATGTTCCAGTCCAGCTTACATTTATTTCTATTGGGGAAAAAAATCTACATACCATTATTATTATTATTATTATTATTATTATTATTATTATTATTATTATTATATTCCTACTGCTAATACTCCAGTCCAGCTTATATTTATTTTTATTGGGAAATATCTATCTATATCAATCTATATATCTATATCTATAAATACTATTATTACTATTATAAATATTATTATTTATTATTATTATTACTATTATTATTATATTTCTACTGCTAATACTCCAGTCCAGCTTATATTTATTTTTATTGGGAAATATCTATCAATATCAATCTATATATCTATATCTATAGATAAATATTATCATTATTTCCCTAGTGTTCATGCACCAGTCCAGCTTATTTTTATTTCTATTGGAAAATCTCTCTCTACTGTTGTTGTTTTTATATGCCTACTGCTCCTACTCTTGCCCAACTTTCTCTCTCTTGGGGAAATGACAGGTGAGTGAATGGTAGCAGGAGCTCTGAGTGCCAAGGGAGGGCAGGGAGGCCGGCGCTTGCCTTGGGTCCTTCATAGAGGAAGGCGTCCCAGATCCGGAAGAGGATGTCACTGACCACGCTGTCCACGAAGACCACCAGGAACCAGTTGAAGGTGATGAGGCTGTAGTCCACCCGGTGGAGCTCAAAGTGGGTGGCCAGGCGGGGCAGCTTCTCGCCCATCAGGTCCTTGAAGACCCTCTGGTCCACCTGCAAGGAAGAAGGAGAGTAAGCGGCAGGTGAGACAGACAAAAATGCCTCGGCCTCGGGAGTGTGGGAAGAACTCTAAAATGGCAACCACTGTGGAGACTGGACTCTCGGATGGGGCTATTTCCTGTTTGTGAGACTGATACCTCTCAGGGACACACCTCCTTGCCTATGTCAGAGAGTTAGCTCAGCTTCACCTTCCCTTCTGTTCTCCAGAGATGAGGCACAGCAATATGTCTCCAGAGATAGTTACAGACAGACCCTCAGTTTTCTCACAGAAATGTAGCTGCAGCTCCAAAAGCAACGTTGCTACCAACAGCTAGCTATTCCAGACTCCAGCCATTTATGCAGAGCTCTCAAAATGCTCCTACTGGCTGGCCCTCATCTCAGCCAAAGGACTGTATCTCTGTATTTGAATTCCAGCTGTCCTTTGCTGTAGTCAGTCTGGAGCACTTAACCCCTGGTCTCCCAACTCAAAGTCCCGATCCTGCCCTTGCTCTATCCCAAGAGGAGAGGGAAATCTCCCATTGTCCACTTGGGGTTGCCGTTGTTCCTGTTCCAAAGTAGTGACCTCTTTGGTCTCTAACTGCACTTGCTCTTGCTCTGTATTTGAGCCCAGCTCGAAGGCTGAGAGACGTAATCTTTCCTCCAGCTCCTTGTTGTCAGTACTAGCCATGACAGTGTAGCCAGCATCTGCTTTCATTCAGCACCACAAGGTCTCAAGGGGTGTTAGAAAGGTCTCTGGGGAGGGAGCTATGGGCCAGCCTAGCTTTGCCTGGCTGCTTTAACTGCACCCCAAGGGCTCACACACACACCGAACCCCTGGCCAGCTTTTCAGGCATCATACCTGGGAGCCCAGCAGAGTCTTCGTGTAATAGTCCCGGGGCATGAAGACCTCTACAATGGTCACAAGGCACCAAAAGGCATCCTCCTCCTCCAAGTAGAGGAGCGCAATGGCTGCCAACCTGTCCAGGAAAACAAGGAAACGTCCTCACAGTGTGCACACATTGCTCTCCGAACTGCTGGATACATACGATCAGCTCATTAACGCAGCCCTTTCACACACACACACACACACACTGCAAGTGTGAAGCCATGCAATTCAGGCCTCTCGGCGAATGCCTCCTACCTGTTGAGCCCCTGGCAATAGCCGATGTCCGGGTTCCGCCAAGAGAAGGCAAGAAGCACATTCCGGAGCTTCTGGATGCCTTCAGAGGCTGGGGAGGAATAGTGCTTGTTGTTGGGCAGTGTGCGGAGCAGGTCCAACTCGATCTGCTTGGAGGCCGGGTTCTGCTTCCTGAGGGCGTTCTGGAGCAAGCTCTGGAAGTAGCCCGGGTCGGCACTGGCCCGGAACTTCTTGGCGTGGAGCCCCACGCACCACTTCCACAGCTGTGAGCGGTGTGCATGCGGGATCCCCGAGCGCACCAGCTGTTTCAGCTCCAGCGAGCGTGACATCTCCCGATGCAGGGTCCCAGCCAGGAAGTTCTCCCACTTGACGCCCACCGACATCTCCTGGTGCTCTGCCAGTGAGAGGGATTTCAGGTCCAGCGCCCGCACCTTGGCCTCCAGCCGCGCCTCCTCCTCCTCTTCCTCTGGGATCGTTCGGAAGCCGTAGATGTCGTACTCGCTGTGCAAAAGGAAAGCAGCACCAGTATTAGGAATGATAGAGAGCACTAGCCTAGGAGTCTAGGAGGCCAAGGCTCAAATCTGAGCAAGGTACACTCTCTCAGTCTCAAAGGAAGGCTGTGGCAAGCTTCCTCTAGGGTAGGCACAGGCCATCTTCTGTTAGGAATTGTGGGAGTTGAAGTTCAGAACACCTGGAGGGAGGGCCAAAGTTGGCCCATGACTGCTTTAGAGAGAAAAGGCTAAAGGAACCTGATGGGAATTCACCAATGGAGATCAGGGATGTAAATCATGCTGTACCCAGCCTGAGCCACAAGGAACTCATCATCATCATCATCATCATCATCATCATCATCATGACTCAGGAGTCAATTTACAGGAAATGAGACTCCACCTAAACACTAGGACCGTGGTGGTGAACCTATGACACTCGTGTCAGCACTGACATGCATGGCTATTTTTGATGACACGCAGACACAGAGAAGTACACCTTATAAGAGCCAAACTAATTCCATCCTTAAATTTGTAAAAGGCTCTACAAATTTAACATCTGCACATTTGAGCATTGTTCACTTTATAACTCAGCGTGGATTATACATTTTTCTTATTTAAACTATAAATATTGCCATTTTTTTTTCTTGAAGTGACACCCCACCCAAGTTATGCTCAGGTTTTTGGCAAATTCTGACACACTAACTACAAAAGGTTGCCCATCACTGCACTAGGAAGAACTTCCTGATGGTAAGAGCTGTTTGACAGAACTACTCCTTTGAAAAAAAATGGGGGGGCTTCTTCCTTCTCTGGAGGCTTTAAGCAGAGGCTTAAATCTGTCAAGAGGGCTTGGATTGCCTCTTGCTCCCTGGCAGAAAGAAAGGGGTTGAATCGGATGACCATTGTGGGTCCCTTCCAACTCTAGGATTCTGTAATTCGGAGAGTCTACTTGGAGGCACAATGACAAGTTGGCTGCCTGACTTACATACGTTACCTACAATAGCCAAATCAGGGTTAGCGTTAGGGATTTTTTTGTGAGGTGGAAAATATTTTCAAGCCATGGATATGGCACGTCAACTGGACACCTCCACTCATCCAAAGACTGCAACATTCAGAAAAGCAATGCGACATCGAAGGTCAGCCGGACCATGGCTTTAACCATGCCAGTGCGCAAATGAAATGTACAAGCCACGCGCTGGTTTGCAGAGGCCCTCATGCCACTCAAGGCAATGCCTTTCCAAGCATTTGGTGCTGATTTATTTCCATCCCCGCTGGCTGCTCCCTTGCACTGTAAAACCCTTTATTAAGCCAAAGCGGTTAACCAACCGACATGCTCTGAATAAGAAAGCGCGCCTGATCGGGCCTGGATTGACTAAGATGAAGCACTGGCAGCACGCCGGCCCTGGCAAAAATGGCTCTGAAAGCAGCCTAACTGGCTCTAAACCAGAGTTGCCTTTAGGGCCAGTTAGGCTGGTTTCGGGGCCAGCTTTGTCAGGGCCAGCGTGCTGCCAGTGCTTCATCTGTGCTTCATGGAGTCCGAGGGATGTTAGAAAGCCAATCTCTGGTTTGAAGCACAAGAGGAAACGACTGGTGTGCAGTAAATCAGCACACTCAATCTACAACACCCTTGGATTATCATCTGTGGCCTTTTAACTCCCCAACTCCCAGTATCCCCAACCCCTGGCCCCACTGGCAGGAGCTAATGGAAGCTCGAGTCTGAGCAATGTCTTGAGGGCCACATGTGATACACAGATAGCCTTTTAGAGTGATGCTGTTATGATGTTAACTAATATGAAGTTGGTATTACTCTGGTCATCTTACTGCCTTGGTCTAGGATTATTTTTAAAGAGTAATTGCAGTTTCTTTACTGAAGTTTCTACCTATATGTTGTTCTTGTTGTGCATTGCCTTGGGTACCATGCAGGCCAGGGAGGCAATATGCAAATGCTCCAAATCCCTACCCAGCCAGTTTGAAGCATGAATTCTAAATTTGTGTCTTGTGTTTAATCTCTGTTCCATGTATTTTAATAAGTATTTTATAGAAATACATCTTAATATGTGTATTTATCGATTTTTTACAATGTTTATCTGTTTTATTTAAGCTGTAACTCGCCTCGATCCACAAGGAGAGGCAGGTAAGAAATAAAATAAGAAGTTATTATCACTATCATCATCATCATTATTTATTTATTTAGAGTTTTTATAACCCAGTCTTCTCAACCTCTGAGGAGGGACTCAGGCCGGCCTACAACAACATAGGTTTCAATACAATAAAATAAAACAATATACATCATCAATATACAATACATTAAAATACAATTCATACAAGTTACAAAGTTATGATATTTGTGGCGTAAGTCGACAGATAACTTGAAAATAAACTCACAAACTCTAATTAACGTCACGATAATAATGGCTCTGAAAGTGATGGGAAGGAAGGAAATCCTTTTTTCAGAGCTCCAACTGGGAAAAATCAGCCCTGCAGATAACCTAGACCCAAACTGTAAAATAAAAGCAAATTTGGTAGCCTCAGTATGAATGCCATACTTGGTTTTCTGAGAAAACTTTTTCTGGACCAGCAGTTCTGGATTCTCCTGGTGACAGTCATTCTGGGCTCTAAAGTTATGTTGTTTTACACAATGCAGAGTTTTGAGCCAGTGGGATAACTCAATAAGATTTGAGTTATGCAGATAGAACCAATGGTCCACCTCTCTACTTTGCCAGCACTGATCCAGAACTCCAACAATGGTGGGCACAGAATCAGAAATACAGATCATCTGAAATCACCCTGGCATTGCTATGGCTTCCACAGAACCAATATAATATGAGATGGCAGCACATAAAAAACATTTGGATTTCATATTGGGAAAAAGGCTGGATTATCTGCAGCTCAGGGAGTGGAAAAGAGAGTCAAACAAATGCCACTGAGTACATCCATGGCTGCAGCTCCAGAGCCAAAATGGAAGACTCCCTCCCAAACAGGAAGGGAGCGAGAGCATGTGCTGACCTGACTATATGGGGCTTGAAGACCTCTGGCTGCTCGCTGGTGTCAGCTCGCAAGGCGTCTTCCAGGAGCTGGGCCACCACTTCGTGGCGAGGGCTCTGCTCTTCAGAGCAAACAGGCGCTTTCATCTCTTGCAGCAGGATCAGGTATTTGCTCTCCACTTGGCAATGCTTGGCTTCGAGGCTGGTGTACTGTGGAAAATATAGTAAAGATACCATCTCAAACAGACACTTGTTTTGCTGTGCATTCATGAATTTTAGCATGAGCATCACGGAATTTGTTAAGGAGGACCTGTCCTGGGGCAGCGTTCCTACAGCGGCTTTGTTGGTGAAGAGGGCCCAGCAGAGATGGTATTATTATCTGAGACCTTTAAGGAACCAACAACTGAATGAAAAACCGCTGGTGACTTTCTCCCACTGTGCTCTAGAACAGTGTTTCTCAACCTGGGGGTCGGGACCCCTGGGGGGGTCGTGAGGGGTGTCAGAGGGGTCACGAAAGACCATCAGAAAACACAGTATATTCTGTTGGTCATGGGGTTCTGTGTGGGAAGTTTGGCCCAATTCTATCATTGGTGGGCTTCAGAATGCTCTTTGATTGCAGGTGAACTATAAATTCCAGCAACTACAATTCCCAAATGTCAAGGTTTATTTTCCCCAAACTCCACCAGTGTTTACATTTGGGCATATTGAGTATCCATGTCAAGTTTGGTCCAGATACATCATTGTTTGAGTCCACACTGCTCTCTGGATGTAGGTGAACTACAGCTCCCAAACTCAAGGTCAATGCCACCATATCCTTCCAGTATTTTCTCTTGGTCATGAGAGTTATGTGTGCCAAGTCTGGTTCAATTGCATTGCTGGTGGACTTCAGAATGCTCTTTGAATTTAAATGAACCATAAATCCCAGCAACTACAACTCCCAAATGACAAAATTAATCCCGCCAACCCCACCAGTATTCAAATTTGAGCATATTGAGTATTTGTGCCAAATTTGATCCAGTGAATGAAAATACATCCTACATATCAGATATTTACATTATAATTCATAACATTAGCAAAATTACAGTTAGGAAGTCGCAACAAAAAATGGATTCTTCCTTTCTGTTGAAATTGTCCACATGCTTGTGGATTTCAATGGCTTCTCTGTGTAGACAAGTCTACATAGGGACCACCAAACGCAGTGCCCAAACACGAATCAAGGAACATGAAAGGCACTGGTGACTACTTCAACCAGAGAAGTCAGCCATAGCAGAGCACCTGATGAACCAACCTGGACACTGCATTTTATTTGAGAACACAGAAATGCTGGACCACTCTCACAACCACCATGTCAGACTACACAGAGAAGCCATTGAAATACACAAGCATGTGGACAATTTCAACAGAAAGGAGGAAACAATGAAAATGACCAAGTCTGGCTACCAGTATTAAAAAACTCAAAAATTACAACAGCAAAACAGAGAGTAAACAATCAGGCACATCAAATCACCTCTCAACAAAAGATTCCCCCAAGGCACTTCCAAGCCATTAAATGCTAATCAAGGTGGTCAGTTGTAACATTCACACTTAGCTCTAGCAGACAAAAGTCCTTTGTCCCACCCTGGTCATTCCAGATATATAAACCCATTTTCCTACTTCCAACAGACCTCACTACCTCTGAGGATGCTTGCCATAGATGCAGGCGAAACGTCAGGAGAAAATGCCTCTAGACCATGGCCATATAGCCCAAAAAAACCTACAACCCAATAATAATAATAATAATAATAATAATAATAATAATAATAATAACAATAATAAATGAAATAAAACTTTATTTGTACCCCGCTACCACCTCCCCAAGGGACTCGGTGCGGCTTACATGAGGCCAAGCCCACAGCACATCAATAAACAAAAGCGATAACAAATAATCAATACAAATAGTTGAAATAAAACTAAAAAAATACACAATAAGCAATAAACAATAACATACAGCATTTAAAAACCTATGTAGAAGGAGGGGTGCTTTGTTTTGTAATTTAATACATATATAATGTGATTGGGAATGGCATTTAATTTGTTGTACGATGTACAATGACAATAAACTTATTCTATTCTATTTGTGTGTACACCGTTTATTGACCTATATCTCCTGAATCGTTCACAGTTCCCCAAAATGACAAAGAACATCTAGCGTAGTAGCAAAACAGAAAGGATAGCAATACTATGTATTAAAAAACTCAAAAATTACAACAGCAAAACAACAGAGAGTAAACAATCAGGCACATCAAATCACCTCTCAAAGAAAGATTCCCCCAGGCACTTCCAAGCCATTAAATGCTAATCAAGGTGGTCAGTTGAAACATTCACACTTAGCTCCAGCAGACAAAAGTCCTTTGTCCCACCCTGGTCTTTCCACAGATATATAAACCCATTTTCCTAGTTCCAACAGACCTCACTACCTCTGAGGATGCTTGCCATAGATGCAGGCAAAACGTCAGGAGAAAATGCCTCTAGAACATGGCCATATAGCCCGGAAAACCTACAACATCCCAATACTATGTTCCTCTTTCGCTAAATAATCAAGAATGGGCCCAGAGATGTCTGGACTTCTAGTATGTCACAGCCAATGCAGCTCATTCATTCTTCTGACACAACTAAAAGGATTTGATTCTTTAAAATTTGCATTTTGGGTAATTATTACACATTTCAAAATGAGCGGCAGCTTCTGACTGACCTTTACCATCAAGTCTCTTTCTCTGTTTTCAGCATTTCTTCGTAAGGCAGCAAGCTCCAAGATCTCCTTGTTCAAAAATTTGTTCTGGGTTTTATAACCCTGAAGACTGTCCTGCCAACCCAGAAAGAAAGAAGGGGATGAACCCAGAGACACAGGACTGAAAAGACACTGACAACATCAGAGGAATCTAGAAGAGATACTACTACCAACAAACGTCTCGCGACACTTCAAAAACCGAAGCAGCCCTGTGAGAGAAAGCAGGGCACCTTAGTAAGGAGCAAGCTCTGGTTCATGTATTACTTACAAACTACTTACTTATTTACTTAGGCGATCCCTCATTGGCTAAATAGGATAGTCTTCCAAGATCAGAATTCTTGTGAGTCTGTAGGTGGCTGTGAGTCTGTAGGTGGCATCTTCTTCCGCAGTGAGGGCATTGGTTTCCAGGTGGAAGGTGGTCTCGGTCGGAGTTGGCTTGACGCGCCTTCCTCCTGGCACGTTTCTCTCTTTCACCCTCCACTCGTGCCTCCTCGAATTGTGCAGCACTGCTGGTCACAGCTGACCTCCAACTGGAGTGCCCAAGGGCCAGGGCTTCCCAGTTCTCAGTGTCTATGCCAGAGTTTTTAAGGTTGGTTTTGAGCCATATTTCAATCTCTTTTCCTGTCCACCAACATTCCGTTTTCCATTCTTGAGTTTGGAGTAGAGCAACTGCTTTGGGAGACGGTGGTCGGGCATCTGGGCAACATGGCCAGGCCAGCGGAGTTGATGGCGGAGGACCATTGCTTCAGTGCTGGTGGTCTTTGCTTCTTCCAGCATTTTCTGTTGGTCATGAGAGTTATGTATGCCAAAGTCTGGTTCAATTCCATCATTGGTGGAGTTCAAGATGCTCTTCGATTGTAGGTGAACTATAAATCCCAGCAATTACAACTCCCAAATGACAAAATCAATCCCCACCCCCACCCCCAATCCCACCAATGTTCAAATTGGGCTGTATCAGGTATTTGTGCCCAGTTTGGTCCAGTGAATGAAAATACATCCTGCATATCAGATATTTACATTATGATTCATAACAGTAGCAAAATTACAGTTCTGAAGTAGCAATAAAAATAATTTTATGGTTGGGGTCACCACAACATGAGGAACTGTATTAAGGGGTCGTGGCATGAGGAAGGTTGAGAAACACTGATCTAAAAGATCTAGAAGGTTCCGAACATCTGTGCATGCACAGAAGATAACCTATACGTGCGTATTTCACAGACTCCATGAAGAAGAAATACAAATTCACCTTAAGAACAAACCTACAGAACCCCTTCTGTTCGTCACTTGAGGACTGCCTCTATGTATGTGTGTGTGTGGCTGGCGTGATACTTAACAAAGGTCCCTGTTCCAACTTACATACATATTCACCTTAAGAACAGACCTACAACACGTTTGTCACTTGGGGACAGCCTGTATTCTGAGAAGGTCTGCCCACCTGCCCCCTATAATGGGTTCCATGCCCTTACCTTCAGCCTGTTGAGCTCCTCTGGGTCTCGGTTTGTGGAGGAAGGCGAGGGGCTGGGTGTGGCCCCTCCCTGAGAAGAGGGGGAAACGGCCTGTGCCTCTCCCTCGCTCAGCTCCCGGGACAGCTTCACGATGACCTCGTCCTTGGCCTGGATGGTCTCCATCAGCATGCTTAGCTGCTCGTTCAGCTCGCCCACCGTGCCCTTCAGGCCCCGAATCTCGGCCTGCAGGTTGTCCTTCTCCAGGGTCAGCCTCTCCAGCTGGTTGTTTAGGCCCAGGATCTGGCCATCCTTCTGGTGGAGCAGCTCCAGCTTCTCACTAGGAGGCCCGTCATCGCAGAGGTGGCCGGCAAAGTATCTGTCGTACTGGGAGGACCTCACCGTCTGCTGCAGGAGCCGCACAAGTTCCTAGAAAGGGAGAAAGGGACAGATGCTGGGCACAAGGGGAAAACACATTCTGGGTGGCATCAGCATGACAGTACAATACAGAAAGCTAGGTCCTCAACCAGTGCTTGGCTGCTCTGTTGGCCTGGATGAAGGCGAACAGATTGAAAACTTAATCCAGACAAGACAGAAAAGTCTGGTCAGTCAAAAGGCCGAACAGAGGATAGGGTTACAGCCTGTGTTAGACAGAGTTACACTCCCCCTGAAGACACAGGTTCGCAGTCTGGGAGTGATCCTGCACTCACCGCTGAGCCTGGAACCCCAGGTCTCGGCAGTGGTCGTGAGAGCTTTTGCACAATTAAAACTTGTGCGCCAGCTGCGCCCGTTCCTTGGGAAGACTGACTTGGTCACGGTGGTCCACGCTCTGGTTACATCCAGAATAGGCTACTGCAACACTCTCTACGTGGGGCTGCCTTTGAAAACTTCTCGGAAGCTTCAATTAGCCCAACGGTTGGCAACCATGTTGTTAACTGGAGCGGCGTACACGGAGCGTACGACTCCTCTGTTGTGTCAGCTCCACTGGCTGCCGATCAGCTTCCGAGCACAATTCAAAGTGCTGGTTTTAACCTTTAAAGCCCTGAACGGTTCTGGCCCAGACTACTTGTCCGAACGTATCTCCTACTATGAACCATCACGAAGCTTAAGATTGTCAGGAGAGGCCCTGCTCTCGATCCCACCACTTTCGCGAACGAGGTTGGTAGGGATGAGAGACAGGGCCTTCTCGGCAGTGGCTCCCCGTCTGTGGAACTCCCTCCCTAAGGAGATCAGGTTGGCCACCTCCCTCCTGTCCTTCAGAAGACAACTGAAGACCTGGCTCTGCAGCCAGGCGTTTGATTAGATGATAATGACAATAGGAAAGGAATTTGGGTTGTGACACTGGATTTCCCAGTTTGATTTTTGGTTTTACTGGCATTTTAATATAATCTGGTAAATGAATGTATTGGCTGATGTGTTTGATGTTTTAAGACGATTTTACTGTTTTATTGTATTCTTTGATGTATATGTTGTAAGCATCGATAATGCTTATGTGAGGCCGCTCTGAGTCCCCTTGTAGGGAGAAGGGCGGGATAGAAATGTATGAAATAAATAAATAATAGTTGCATTTCTCTTCTTCAAATACATGGGAGCAGAATTCAATTGGAGCCTAGTGTCCAGGTTGAGGAAAGTCCTACTCCCACTCTCTTCTGCTTTGGCCTCACCTGGAATAATAATAGCCCTGTGTCCAGTTCTGAGCAAAGCAAGTCAAGAAAAAGATGGACAAAGATCTGGAAAGCAAGTCTTATGAGGAAGGACATAGGAAACTGGGTATCTTGAATTTGGGGTGACTGAGAGGTGAATGTAAAACTATCATTGAATACCTGAAGGGATGCAATGTAATAATACGAGGGGTATTTTTTAAGTAAGGTCCGTTTTGTTGTAGACACTAGTAGTTTGCACTCATACCACAACGAGTGCGTGCGTCGTGTACCGGCATGCCTCGGAAACAACTGTGCTCAGTTTCCGCTCTGTAGCTAACCTGCACGATTCTGTTCTGTGCTTTAAAATGTTTAAGACTATCAACTCACCCGCCACATGTGAGGTTCACTCAGTGATACGGTTTTTGTCAGCAAGGAACCTGCCTGCTGCAGAAATTCATCGACAGATTTGTGAAATGTACGGTGATAGTGTTATGAGTGAAAGCAAAGTGCGTAAGTGGGTACGACAATTCAAAGATGGCCGTGACAACATCCATGATGAGGACTGCTCCCTTCTTTGATTAACTCTTGGTTATCGGAGCAGGCGGCAAGTTTTTATGAAGAGGGTATTTTAAAATTGGTTCAGAGGTATGATAAGTGTTTGAACAAACTTGGCAACTATGTCGAAAAATAGAGTGAAGTATGTACTTTCTGAAAATAAATTTACTTTTTTGAAATAAACTTTCGTTGTGTACTTATGTTCAAATGGACCTTACTTAAAAAATACCCCTCGTAATAGTAATAATAATAATAATAACAACAATAATAATAATATATTTCTTACCCGCCTCTCCTCATGGCTCAAGGCAGGTCACAGAACAAAACCATTGTAAAAATTCTATAAACACGCCTATTTAAATGTATTTCTATAAAATACATATTAAATACACAGGACAGAGATTAAAACACAGGATGTGAGTTTAGAACTCATACTTGAATCGGGCTGGGTAGAAGACAGTGAGCTTCTTTTCTGCTGTTCCAGAGATGAGAAGAAGACTCAGTGCATTCAAATTAGAAAAAGCCACCCAAACATGAGGAAGACTGTCTTAACTGTAAGACCTGTTCGAGAATGGAATCAACCCCTCCTTTGAAGGCCCTGCCCTTGTGCTCCCTCCCTTCCAGCTTGAAGGCTCCATGCTCTGTGTAACTCAAAAGTACCTTCTGGCTGGCCAGCTCCTTCTTCAGCCCCTCTAGCTCCTCCTGCTGGCTCTGGAACTTCAGCTGCATTTCGGAAGCAAACTTGTTCCCGTTCCACTCAATGGGAGGAGACTCCGCGCTGTTCCGGTTCTTGCTGGGCCCAATCATGTCCTTCAAGGGGCGCCTGGCTTTGTGGGGAATGCGACCAAAATCAAATGGAAACGCCGCACCGCTCAGTCCTGAGGAATGGGATACACATTTTCCCCAGTTCAGATCAAACTCTGAGCGAATTGCCGGTGTGTTACCCTACATGCCCGTGCATGGTCATTAGATCTAAGCAGAACCAAACAAAAAAAATACATTTTTAAGGTTGTTCAACTGCCTGCCAGTTTAGGCTCTCCTTTTGGAGCCTGAGACCAGGCATGGTCTTGATATCATATTAGAGCAAAACGAGGGCTCAATCTGAACACAAGAAGCACAGGTTTCCTATGGCTGTTCCCAGACCAACCACAAGATTTCCCACAAAAGAACTGAACAAATGGAAGGCTTCTCAAATTCAGGAAACACATTTCATGCCCTCTTTATGCAAATCTAATGCTCACCTTTTTTGAGAATTAGTGGGAAGCCGCATCAGGAGCTCCTCTTTGAGGGACACCATTTCTGATTTAATTATGTCGGCTGCTGGGATTTGTAGTTTGGTGAGGCATTTGCATCCTTTGGCAGAGAAGGCTCAAGACCTTGTCAAACTGCAGCCTCCATTATTCCATGGCATTGATCCAAAGCAATTAAAGAAGATTCATTCTGCAGCTTAGATGCACCCCAAAGTTTTCCTTTCCCTCGCTGGAAGCTTTGGTGTTCTTTTGTGTTTAAAGAAGGGATCCTAAACGGGGGGGGGGGGGGG